CTCGCACCCGCCGCGGCAACCGCCCCGGGCAGTCCACCCTGCGAGCTGCCCGCCAAGGGCGAGCCGGCCGGCGGCTCGTGGGCAACACCTGGGGGACCCTTCGTGAGCCCCACGGGGGACATGGCCCAGGGGCTGGGCCTCAGCGTGGACTCAGGTAAGCGCAGGAGGGAGTGTGGTCTCCCCGCGGGCCCTCCGGCCCTGTACCCAACCCTGGATTGAGCCTAGATCCCCCCCCCTTAGTCGTCCTGGGGAGGTGGGGGGCCATGTGGCCCAGAGCCTGCGTGACATTGTTACTGCCGTTGTTCGCTGACTCTGCCATCTAGATCCGAGTCTGTGACTATCGCAGAAGACTTACAAAAATAAGAAAGATCAGTATTGTAACCACTAGCCACTCGCGAGTACTTGCTGCTTGCCTAGGACGGATTAAGACGTGCTTTTCAAAACAAAGTACACACTGGATTTTGAAAACTGTAAAAACAAAACCCCACCCATGTAAACATCAGCTCCTTAATATTTTTATATGGATCTTTGCGTGTTCAAATACATTGGGCAGTCGCCTACTGAGCATATTGGGTGAAATAAAATATGAAAGATTATCTGTCATTTGTTTCTTTTCGATTTTCCCATCCCCCATGGTGGTCGGTAGAAAACTTAAAAATAGTGCTCGTGGGGTCTGTGTGCTTCTTTTCCCGTTTGGCAGCGCGGATGTGAAGTAGCCACGGAGTTGAGACTATAGCTTTTCAGTCCTCCCTGGCTTTCAGAGACCGAATTCTTACAATCAGCTTCATTACCAAATCAAATGCATCTCCTACAAATGTAAAACTTAAAGATGAATGATAATGCTACAGTGCTGGCTTAGAGTTGAATTTGAAGGGTATTTTTGAAGGGTGTATTCGAATACAGTTTAGTTTTCTTTAGTATATTTAGTGTCACTTTTAGTATAATTTTTTAAGTCACATAACAAGTGCAGTTATTGGCTAGTAGTCCTGCCTAGTTCCGTTTTCCTCCAGTATAGATCTGAAGTTTCTGCTTGCTTTGGTTTTGCTCTTATTTATCATTCACTGCCCTTGCTTAGATGAAGCTTGTGACTTTTCACAATAAAACAATGGTGGTTGTCTTTTTCTTTCCTTAAACACCTGTCTTCCTTCCCCACCTCTTCTCCCTCTTTTGCCTTCTCTTTCCCTTCCACCCTCTCCTCTCTCTGTCTCTGTCTGTCTCTGTTTCTCTCTCTCTCTCTCTTTTTCTCTCCCTCCCCCCTCTCTCATTTTCTCTCTATTTTCAGGTTTGCAGCCTCAGGACAAAAGCAAGGATCTGTACTGGTTTTAGACAGTCCGCCTTCTTCCCTGTAGGTTCCTGCCTGGTACAATTGGTGGCACACAGAGCAGACGTGGAGTGGGTTTGTAACAGCTTCTGATCTTGGTTTGCAGCTCGTCGCTACTCCCTCTGTGGTGCAACCCTTCTGAGCTGATCTGCAGTCCAGGGTTTCCCTTCCCCCTTCCCTTCTGACCAGTCTGGAAGGCTCAGCATCTGTGCCTCTCACTTCATGGATGAGGACATAGGGGAAGGCAGAGACTTCAAACTTCTCCATGTCTTGGGAAAACCAGAAACCACATTTACAGAAATGTCATCTAAAATAACTCTCTTCTGCCAGAGCAGATCCAGAGACTGACTTCTATTTAATGACTTTTGGCTAAATCACTGGAAATAACTATGGTGAGATTGCTTAATCGAGTGATATGAAACCATAAGCTTTCTTGGAATTGGGAAAGCAAAAAAAAAGACGACCTTTTCAGTGTGACTCTTTTACATTAATGTGAATTATTTCACTATGTAGTGTGATTATAGCACTACTGGTGTCAGTGTCCTCCGACTTTAAGATGGATTTGTATCTGCAGGGGAGAACCAGCAAAGGAGCTGGTTCTTTCTTCCTCCGCCTCCAGCTCCCTCCCTGCCCATCTCCTTCCAGAACACCCACTCCAGACACAAAGACAGACACTTTCCTGGGATGGTGAACATGGAAATCTCAGCCTGAATGCGAGTGGCAAGTGGTTGATCTGGAGCCACCTGCCCAAATCTTACTGAAAACAGCTGTTGGAGGACAACTGTTTAAAACTCCAGAAATATATTGACCAAGGTGGTGCTTTCAGTGTTGGGAAGAAAAATTGCAATTGCATTGGATATTATATATAGAGAGATGTATATAGATCATCTTTTTATAAAGGAACAATTTATGATGAAAGAAGAAATCCTGCTAGGCCTTCTCCTCACAGAGCCCATCACTCCTTCTATGCTTCGGATGGAAAATACAAGAAGAGACACCCCCCACCTCCCATCACCAAGGAGAGGAACTAGGAACTCATCACAAGAGGAAGAGCTCTTGCAGTCAATAGCACTGACAATGTTTTTTCTTCGTCTCTGTGGTGTGATGGTCACTTTTGTGTTGGGAAAGGGGACAGGGGCCATATGAGCACAACACTGAAGGTGATGAGGAAGAAGAAATGAACATTAAAGATGTCTATTTACTATAAGCTCATTGTGTTTCATAAAAAAGAAATATCTCCATTTTAATACAATAAAGTAATTTATAGTAGTGTGATCCAATGTTAGCCATATTATGAGAAACACATGTACACACATGGTTGGTTTTTGTCCAAACGTGTTATGAAATCTGTTGACCCCTCTCTCCCTTCCATCTAACCTAGAGATGAGAAGTTCCCCCTTCTCTTTCACAGAGGAGGAAACCAGGGCCTGTCTAAGGCAAGATCTCACCTGTCAGCCTTTGAGGAGTTAGAATGCAGAGCAGTAACTGTAGATGATTCAGACAGATACAGAGTCACCATGTGCCAGAAGGAAATTGCTGTTCTTAAATGCTACACTCTTCAGATAGGAGTCATAAGTTAAAAGTTGTTTTTTTTTTAAAAAAAATATGGTTTGTTTTATCTTGTACTGAGCTACACCATGAAACCAGAGTTTCTCTTAGGCAAAGAGGTAGATTATTAACTTATAGTCTCTCTCTCTCTCTTCTTATTAATGACAAAATTATGTATGTTCTTTCACTAAAGTACCCAGGCACAAGATACTTGTGTTACACTCAAATCACCGTTTCACACTGTTGAAGCATAAAAATATTAGCACAAATTTTGACCTTCATAGTAATGTGAGAAGCAAATATCACATCTCTTGGATAATAGTCTCGAGAATTGGAAGCAGTTAAGGGACCTTCCTCAGAGCATGAGCATGGCAGATTTATCCTCAATTTCTAGCTTTTGGGAAACTATGAACTATATGTGACCATTATAAAAATGATGTCATTGGGGCTGGGAGGGTGGCTCAGTGGTAGAGCGCTTGCTTTGCATGCCTGAGGCTCTGGGTTCAATTCCTCAGCACCACATAAGCAAAAAGAAAAAAGCCGGAAGTGGCGCTGTGACTCAAGTGGTAGAGAGCTAACCTTGAGCTGAAGAGCTGAGGGACAGTGCCCAGGCCCAGAGTTCAGGCCCCACAACCGGACCCCCCCCAAAAAAATGATGTCACTGCTTTTACTTAGAGGGTACTATATGATTATGTTGCTGCAGATATGAAAGCAAAATAACTAATATTAATTATCATGTCTTAGGCACTAATCTAAATGGGTTGTTTGTTAAGCTGCATGGCAGTTTATTATAATGGTCTCGTCTCACTCTAAGAAAATTGAGGCACATGGATGGAAGATAATTTACCTAACCATAAAGCTTGTAAGTAAGTGACAGAGTCATGATGCAAGCTCAGGTAACCAAAGGCAGAGGCTATACTGTTACCATAGTGATGACTGTTTGTTCTGTTCTGATGTCTCTTTGCTGTTCAGCTTTGAGCTTCTTCCTCCACAACAGATGTATAAAAGAAGGCAAAGGAGCAGAAAAATAAACTCTGACACTTTGTAGAACATGCATGCAGACAGGACCTCTGGTCTCTCTGGAGCTGTCAGAGTCATTGTCTTCACCCTTTAAACAAATGCCTTTCCTTTAGACAGTTCAGCTGGATGCAGGCCTTTATTCTTCTCCAGGAGGAAATCATTGCTTCTCTTATTAATTAAATTTAATATTTAATAGCCTTCACTGCTCCCAAGTTCTTCACACCCAACTTAAACAAGCCCTGTAAGAGGTTTGGGCATTGAAGTAATAACTAAAATTAACTTTGGACTTCTCTGTGGATTTTTTTTAATCCATGTTCCATTGGCACGGATCACTGCTCTATACAAGCATAAATGAGATGCATTAAGTTCCAGTGTGCTTTTCAAAATTTGCCACTAACTATGACATGGAAGAAAAATACATAGCAATCTATTCTCTGCTAGGCATCTTCGCACCATATCCTGGACTGGAAGGGACATTTTACCTGTGTTCCACCTGCGTTAGCACTCAAAAAGTCTGTGGTCACAACCCACAGGGAGCATTTTCTCTGCCCCAAGGTTCTGATTACCAAAACTAAGCTGCATCTGACCTGAATATCAGGTTGCTGGTGAGGAGACTCATTCACTGGAATTGGCCTTTGGGGCAGTCTTGAACAGACTGTCCAGACTGCTGAGCCAGCCAGGCTCCAGTGATCTGGCTGGGATGACACACGAAGCAGAGCATTTCACTCTTGTGTTATATCTTCCTAACGTAGAAATGCAAGGCGCTCTCAAACTATGATTTGATTGTGCATAACAAGAGCATTGAGGAGAACTTCAGAGCCAATTGTCCTGACTGACATGCTTTTGGCCTACCAACTAATGCAAAATAAGAATTCCCATCCTTATCCTGCTAATATTAGTGAAGCTGTGTAGACCAAAACGTTCTAGTAACTGAGAAAATGACCGTCAAGGACCTAAAGGATACCATGAAAAATAAAAAGAGTATGTTTCTCCATATATCTCTGTATTATACCTGGCTAAGGGTCTGAGAGAAAGGTTAGATTCTCCTGCAGTCATATTCCTTGGCACTATTCGCAGGTCACCCGTGGTTTTCCCTTTGCACTTGGCCGAAGCCAAGGAAAAGGTGATGAAAAGGGGAGAGACAGCTCTCCACCACCAAGTAATCCTCTTGCTCATTGCCCTCTGGTTGAGAACTCAGTCGCCCAACTACAGGGAACTCTATCTGTTTTACTCCTTTAGTTGCCATCCCATCTCATTTCCCCTTTGAAGTTCTATTTCAATGTGTGGCAATTCTCTCTTGATTGATTCATGCCTGGATAGGAAAGAAGGTAAAGAAGTAAAGGGGGGGCGGCAGAGGAGGGGAACTGGGATGCAGACTCCTGAGTAAAAGCTACTCTAGCCACTTGTTCTGGGGTCAATACAATAATTGCTATGCCCCTTTGCATATGAAATAACTCAATATACTGTAGCTTCCATTTTGCTCAGAATCAGAGCCTGGATCTCTGTGCAGTCACCTAGTCATCGTTTATGTTTTGTTTGTTTTTTTAAAGCACTTAGTGAGTTGGAAAAGATGAAAAATGTAATAAAAATGAGACAAACTGCTTTCCACATCAATGCCACTTCCATGATATATGTTTTTATGTCATTCATAAAATTATATTAGGACATGGAAGAAAAGATAGATATTTGAAAGCCTTTAAACTAAAGAGGAATTGGAAAACATAAGATTTCTTTATGGAATTTCTTTTAAAATGGTTGACTATTTATAGCCAAAGCAATTTACATTTTGGTTGCATTTGTCCAAATCTTTGCTGCGCTTGTTCCTTTCCTTCCTGCTAGAGTTTTAGAACTTATTATATATTCTGGAGTAAAGGCAAAATACCCTCGTAACAGTATCATTATTACAGTTGCCATTTGTATGTGACTGAAGTTGTGATATTTACAAAAGTAATAGGATTAGGCAAACATATAATTTCTGAAGGCTGACTCTTCTTCATCACCAACAAATAAATGTAACTCAAGTAATACAAAAGTTATAGCCACACAACAGAATCTATTTACCCACAAATATACAGAGAGCAAGAGAGCGAGTGAGCAAGAGAGAGAGAGAGAAAAAGAGAGAGAGAGTTTTCAAGCCAAAAGAGAAACCAGAGATATCATGGCTTCAGACAGACAGACACAAATGATTATTCTCTCCTGACAGACCAACTGTACTGTTCTTTCCTTGTATTTCACTCAAGCCCCAGAGGGCTGGATCAGGAAAGAGACACTTGATAGCTGCTGTTTTCCTGGTTGAAATATTTGTGAAGTTACCGCATAATCTGAAAGCAGAAGCTAATAAATAATAGGATGCTAATTGGAGCTGGAGTGGAGCTGTCAATCATGTTACCCTAATCACAGAGAGACCCTCATCACCTAAAAAGGCAAGGCAGCTTCCAAGAACAGCTTCCAGTTGCTTCTAGCCATGACCTCTGAGCATCATCCAGGCAGAGTGGCATCTGAAGCAGAGGTAGACTGTTAAGCCAAGTTTACCTTAACCTCAACCATACCATTAAAAAGGGGGGGGGAGAATAAAATACTCTGCTGAAGAATCAATGTTTAACACATTGAACTTAGAAAAAAAACATTACTTTTGTAAAACATGCTACCCTT